AAGTGACTTACCTTAGCTTTGCTCGGGTTCGTCCCTAGGTTGCTTCCCCATACAAACTTTCATCCCCAACTTCACCCCCTTAAGGAATGATTTCCAGGATAAAAACTATGTCCTTCCTATGTTCTTTCCTGGGTCTCAAACTATCATCTTACCGAATTTCATCTAAATTGGTTCAGTAGTTTCGGAGCCTATTCGGTACAAAAATAACAAACAAAAAAAAATCAAATCAGATTAATAGTTCCTGAGATTAGCGCATTCAAACAAACAAACAAAAGTATGTCTTAAGTGTGTAAGTATGTCGCACGCATATTGTATAATTTGTCATTATACAAACGGCACCGTCTGTTTGCATGCGCTGACTAAAATCTGTATTTTAGCAAAATGAACCATTGTTTAAAAAATGTTACGAAATCAGCTATTTTACACATCACGATTATGTAAAACAACAATTAATTGGATTGTCATAGCGTTACATTCGATAATGCATGCAATAAAAATTCAAATTCAAAGGCTTGGTGACATATCCGATTCGGATTATGGTGGGTGAGAAACCTAAGCGAAGAGAAGCTAGTGTCTTTGTATATCTTACTATCCACTGTATTTTACAATCCAAAGTTTTACAATTATTTATTTACCTTTGTCAATTATACACCATAACGAGCTAAGCGTTTCTGCTTCAAGTCTAACAAAATTTGCTTTCCTCTGTAAGCTTGTTGGTCTCTTTCTACAAGGTCGTATTTTACAAGCAATCTGAACGAAACCTAGTGTACGGCTTTTACGACTTTATAGATTTTTTTGTCATCGGGGATTTTTGATTGGATTGGGTATTTCCTCCAAAAAGGAGAGTACTGGATATCTCCGCTTGATAAGACCCGATTTCGATGTTTCTTTTTTTTATTTCAATGATAGTACCTTAAAGTTGGTCTCATAAAAATTTGGTAAAGATCTGATAAGGATCTTCGGCGTGATGATTAGAATAAATTATGTATTGCAAAAAAGTTTGTGTTCGCGAGGTCTACTGCTCGCATAACTACTAGTTGCTATATTTGCTTAGTCTATCGTCACGTATTTCACATAAAAACTATTATAATACCTATTTAAGTAAAGCAAGGAATTTATTTGTATTAGTCTACGTATGATAATTATTACTATATGTAAACCTGTACTGTGGGAAATCAAGAATAATATGCAGACTGGCGCCAATTAATTTTTAATAGATTATAACAGCATTTGTTTCGTTTAAAACGTTGCAATTAGAGTAAATTAAATTAAAGAGCTTATCAGTATTGCAGAATTGACCACGTCATGATACCACTCCTTAGTCTTTATCCCTTTCGTTATCTTAGAGGAATTCCTATTAAAGTTTATTCATTACAATTATTATACATATTTATTTCTATTAAAATTTATTGTTTACCAAATAACTATTTAAAATATTTAAAAAAACTGAAAAGAATTATTACAACCATCTCGCAGTAAAAGCAAAGAAAAATAGATTTGGCATCAATAAAAGTCATGCTTATATTTAGGTAAGTGAATTGAAGGCCATTCCTTAGATGTGGATTTATTCAATGCTGTTCTAGAAACGTAGTGGCTGTAATCACTAAGGAATTTGCTTTGGTTCATTTTAAGATCCATACGATGAATGATTAATGTTTTTTTATTTTATACTGAACTAGCGACTAATCCTAGCTTCGCTCGGGTTCGTCCCTAGGTGCGTTTTAACAGTTAGTATAGAATAGACTATAACAAATATATATCCCTTTTCTTGAAAAATGATTGATTCCCCATTCAAACTTCCACCCCCCTTTTCACCCCCTTAAGATATGTTTTTTCGAGACGAAAACTATCCTATATCCTTCCCAGGGTCACAAACTATCTCAATACCAAATTTCATCTAAATCGGTTCAGCGGGTTAATGAATGAAAAAAAGGCTCTAAAGATTTTTTTCTAACCTGACTTACCTTACGAATTTATCGTAACTAAATATGTTTAATTACAATGAAACGGTTCCTTTAATTGTTAAAAAAAAGGTCTGATATAGGGAAGTAATCCTCTTTTTTCATTTTAATAAATAATACAAGAAGTTATTAATATTAGGCTTGTGTATATCGCCGAAGCAACTTATCTTCAGTTTGTGCCGTTTAAATAATTGCGAAACTTCTAAAAATACGTCCACGTCCCTTAACTTAATGTTGAACAATTTACAAGATTTAAATATCAGCTAAATTGTATAAAATATTGAATGCAAGTGCTATTTATATAGTTATCCCAATCTCAATAACTTGTAATGTGCTAGTAATGAAGTTATGAAGCCAACGGATTTTCCTTATTAATTACTATCCTCAATCCAATGCCTAACACTATACTGAGAGGGATTGGATTTGTTAAAGTAATTCTGATAATGGCCTAGTATTTTTTTAAGTTTCTTATTCAATCGACTTTAATTTTGTTATATTGTAAAATCGTTGATCCTATAATGGCCCACTTGGACCTCATGTCTGTAAGGATAGTTTGTAAACTGCTCAACTTCTTAATAAAATTAAGATTGTGATGAAGTTTTGGAACGTCAGTAGTACGTATTTCTAATATTTTTATTTAAACTAGTGACAGGCCATCACTTTGAGAAACATATCATTGCATGTCCAATTGAATAAAATAATTTTAAGAATTACAAATTAGTAAAGTATATCTGCCGTCATGACCCGTACGCAATGAGTCAGAGCAGAACGCACGTGCGCAGTTTGTTTACAAAATTGTATTCTGTAATACTTTAAGAACTGTTACATATGTATGATATATATATTGCTGCTCTTTTGCAAGAATTGTCAAGACCAGCATTCATTTTAGATGGAAGAATTTTGGCTTAAATTACTTTCACGGCGCTATCGTACAGCTTCACCGTTCTTAATAGAAATGGCTTCTGTAAAGAGACTTCGCACGCACGTGTATATTCAATTAGCTCATAAACACTAGATCCCCGATTTATACAATATCGCGTAGCGCGGGGAGCCCGAGTTTTAGCTAACATTCTTCTCGCCGATTGAAATTAAACATGGCCATGCTACATTTTGTTCCATCTTTTCACGTACATACATATGTTCACGTGATGCGAGTTTACTTAAATAAACATTTAAAATTACTTTAATTTTTGCAATGCATTAATATTGTGGAGCTACAAGTTCACTAGGTAAAATCATAAAATAAATTTTATAGTTTATTATAAGTAGCATTTTATAATTTTGACTTACAATGTTAATCTATGACTTGAATGGGAGACTCATCATCATCATACGTCCTTTAAGATGTAGTATTTTAGAAATCTCTTTTTTTGTTTATGGGATACCTATAATATTTTTGCTTAACACATTTTATTTAAAATTCATTAATTTAATAATTACAACAATATTATAATTATTGTGTAGAAATATTTCCTAGAACACGGGAATTATTATATCTTCATCTTCTTCGCTATTGGATATGGCTACAATTTGTTTACAGAATTTTTACTTTATAACACATAATTCATGTGAGAGCGCTCATGATTTATCTATTTCCGACTGTTGATATACTGCTTTACTGAGAGTTCAAAAACATTACGTAATGCTTCAATTTTTGCCGTTTCTACGCATCTGCTTAACGCGCAGTGTCCATTTTTTTAAAGTCAACTTATTAAGGTGGCTAACTACTATTATAGATTTCAATTTATTGAGCCATGGAATTCATTTTATTTTGACCTTATAACCTAACAGACAAAATATTATTACATAGACATTAAAGATATTGTTATCTACAAACATTCAAGGAATGCAACTCTTGAACGTAATCGTTAACGGTGATGCCAATTTACATTCCAGCTGGACGTAAGGTAGACTGAAGAGAATAACTATCTATATTTATAAATAGTCCTTTAATCCCTCCACGACCGCGGACACGCCGGCGTTACAGTTAACTATAGATTTATTAGAAATTTTAATAATTTCTTAGAAATTTACCTGGAGGTGATATTTTGAAACTATTGTTTAATATAAATACGATAACTTTCAACACAAGCAGAAGTAGAGGAGTTTTTCTGCGCGTATGATACATCACTTTATTTCATTGCCAACTTACGTGACTTCCTGTAGACTATAAGTCTACGCAAAGTATTAACGTAGGTCGTAGACCATCAAAACATCACTCAGTGGGATTTCGCAGCGTTATGTTTAGTTTTTGACCTTATTATATCACTAGCATTGCCCGCGGCTCCGCCCGCGTTCAGATGACAAAAAACCAAATTCTTAGGTTTTACATATTAGTATACTCTTACAATGCAGTTTTTGTATTTTTGTCTGTCTGTCTGTCTGTCTGTCTGTCTGTGTGTCTGTCTGTGACCGCATCACAGAAAAATCACTATAGGGATTTTGAAGAAATTTGGTATGGTAATAGTTGGTTATCCAGGTCAACTAATATACTAATACGAGTGTACTAATATATAAAACCTAAGAATTTGGTTTTTGGTCACCTGAACGCGGGCGGAGCCGCGGGCAATGCTAGTTTTATTATATGTATAGATTATGCTCACTGCTCAAAGTTTAAACAATCGCGTACAATTTATTTTACTATTTGTGCGTACAAAATAAATATTTTTTTTTAAACGCTCCAATTTGATACCTTCGTAATTTTTTTAAGCAGTACAATCTATGAACGATCTATTTGAGACCAAATTACAGCGGTTCAGTGGACCGCTACGGGCACACCTGCCCTATCAAAATTGCCTTACTTCGAACAGCAACTATGTTGTGTAACATTTACACGTTCAATATTTTCATCTTATATGTATAAGTTAATTTTATTATAATATTAATAAGTACACGATAAATACAAACTCTTAATTTACGAATCTGTTATGGTCGACTTAGATCAATTTCATTTTGTTGTATCAATTATGTTACCAAGTAGTATTGGCAAAAATATTGTTTAGCACACAGATCCATTAAGATAATAATATGTACTTTCAGAGAGTCGTTCGTCTTGCGGAGGTGGCGGTGGGTCGGAGGGGACGGAGGAGCGTGCGTCGTGGCGCGTGACGCTGGACCACGACCTGGTGGAAACCCTTAGCGCTATATACCCTGAGTGGTTTAAGCAGCCGAGGCGCGATCGAAGCAGAGCGGCCTCGCCCTCTCACTCGCCAGTCTCTCCGCGGACGCCCTCAACGCCTCCTGAGGACGATACTTTTAGGTAATAGACCTGTATTTGAATAACAGCTATACATATAGATTTTAATTTTAACTTAATTTAAATGCTCAATAATAAAAAATATATAATACCCGGTATATGTATCTGATAAAGGTATTGATGGTGTAATCTATACGAATAATAAAATTCGGAGTCGAATTTATTTGTACATTAAATATTTTTATGAAAATCTTATTGAAATAGTAATTATTATCGACACAGAGGCCGAATCTATAGTTTTTTAAATTTTTGTGTATCTGTCTGTCTGCCTGGAAACGCATCACGAGAAAACCACTGGACAGGTTTGAATTTGACAGACACAGTTGATGAAATTTGGTATGATGATTGGTGCTTATCCGGATCAACATTTAGGATACGGGAAGATATCTCATCTCTGAGAAATCTATACTAAACTTAAAACGTAGGGACGAACCCGAGCGGACCAAGGGTGAGTCGCCAGTATATTCTATATTACAAATATCCATATCTGCCAATATTGTAAATAATGTTCTAAGTACATGACATTTTCTCGTAAATTGTACTAATTACATGATAAAATACATTTTAAACATCTAAGGATATGTATCAAAGAAAATATATGCTTAATGTACCTTTTACCACAGATCATATAATAGTATACTTTTACCTACATCCGTTGACTCAGTATAAATGTTTAAACAGATGATACCTAAACTAAAATAGTTAACGACTAATGAGATAATACATCTTTTTAATTGCTTCAACTGTATAATTTGGAGAATTTAACGTTTTTTATTATATTTGCTTTTAACTTCTATATAAATTGAACTATCACAGATGTAAAAAAAACAAAATAAAGTAAAATAATAAACAAATTAGAAAAAGCATTCGGACTTAAGTGAAAGCTATCCTTATGTTTGTTTCTTCCAAGCAAAATTGAAAATAGTTAAATTATTTACTCAATATGAAATAAACTATATATAAACGGCAGTTTTTGTAGTTCGGGAGCAGAGGAGATGGCTGGTCGTCAGGCAAGTGGCAGCGGCACGAGCGAGCCGCCCAGCTCGCCACCGAGAGTTTCTCCCCCAAAAGTTGTCGTCGACGACAGCCCACTGCAACCCGCCATGGGCAAACATAAAGAATGTAAGTTTTGTCAGTCTATATGCCATATTACAGATCTAACCTATTATATATAGTTTAAGAGTAAAATCCATTTAATAATTTTTACTTAAAGTTGGTTTACGGGAGTTTTGGCGCAATAGGGTTGCCAACAGTTTCCTAAATACAATACATTGTTTTGGACTTATTAAAAATATGTATATTGTACATACATATGCTCTGTCCAAGCCACATTTTAATATCTTTTTAAGATAATTAAACAAAAATTGTGTTTTGACTAACAATGAAGAACACAACTTGTAATGGATGCAATTGCTTGTTGACCGTTAATTTTTGTTAAGTTCAACAATATATTGTACACTACACTTATATAAAATACGCAGTGAAGTTAAAATATATACAAGGAAATTTACCCGATCTATCTTTTTTATTTATATACATTGAATTGCTGATATTCACATCAGAATGCGCCGCGCATTGTTAACATCCGGCCATACGAGCCTTCTGCGTGCGTAGATATATATAACAAAAAATCTGATCTGCATCTGCACCTTTATATGCACATTAAACCGTGCTAACATTAAAAACAACACGACGATGACTAAAATGCCAACCAGATCCTAAAATATTAACTCACTCTATTATAACATCAGTTTATACGAAAGACGATAAAAGTGTTCGTAAAATACATCACGAGGATACACGAAAAATATAGTCGCGAGACCTATTCTAACGACATCGTTAAATTTTAAGAGAATATATTTTTTATTGCAGCCCACGTCATACGGCACGTGGACACATTTATATATATAATATATTAGGAATTATAGATTAAAATATTAATAAAAGCTGCAATGGGTTATTGTAGCACACGCCCAGTGACCCACAATGACCGGCCCAGTGGTAGTGAATGTTTCGTCTGTAATACGGTCGCGGCATAACACTAGTTTCCTTGTGCAGTGTTTATTTATATTGGCGCGTTGCCAACTTTGTCCGCCCGTCGCTCTGCTCTTTGCCTCGTCTATAGCGAACATGAATTTAGTTCTGTATTCACCTTCGCCCACGCCCCTTTTACATCTCTATCGATATATTCGTAACATATCGATCGACGTATCGACCACCGACGCTCACACACTCAATATGCTACGTCAAAATTCGTCACCCAAAACGTCATATTATTACTCCTCAAATGCTATTCAATCAATTCTTATTGTTGTATCAAAATGGTCATGTATCAAAATTCTCCATTATAATTTATAATGTTTTGGTCGGTAAACGTGACTCGAAATGAGACCAACGGAAAAATATTTAGTAATGTTTGAAGAGGAAAATATTATATATATAATAAACTTTGTAATAATAACTATCCACATGAAAACACTGATATTATTATATATTGCTTTGTTTTGCAGCGTTAAAGGTGAAACTAATGATGCGGCCACCGCTCAACCAGCTGGTAGCAAAAGGGATCATGCCGCGTAAGTATTCCAAACACATTACGTATTAATACTTGAATGCTAGAATCATACTATAAGTAGAACAATTACTAATAAACTAATCATGCAAATGACGAGTCTTGGTTAGGCGCCCAAACGCCTGCGCAGCTCCCGACTCAATTCGAACGTGGGCGAAGGAATTTTATTTACGGTCTAAACGCCGCAACTAATGAGATTTTTTGACCAATTGGCAAGGAAATAAAGTTTTTTTTGTATTCTATGTAGAGTTAGTAGAAGAATTAAAACAACATATCAGATAGTGGTACCGTATGTATTTAGCGATGTGTATATTTATTCACAGCATTGAAAACGCCGCCAGCGTATTTCAAACAAAGGATGCAATTAGAAAGAGCAAAGACAGGAGATTTGCTAAAGGCAAAAATACAGAGTAGACCAGACCGTCAAGAACTGGAAAGACGACATATATTAGAACAGGTGTGTGTATTATCAACATATTATTCATCATTAAAAGATAATTTAAAGATTTAAAAAAATACAAACATTGTCCAATTGAATAATTTAGACATTAGTATAAAAAAAACTAAAAAGTTACTTAATTATTTTCTAATCATATGCTGGAAAATACGTATTTTATTTGTTTTCTGATAAAATTTGTATATGCATAAGGAATATAGAAGGCGCCATCTATTGATAATATATTTTTAAATCTTTTTATAAATATCATGTTGTATGTATGTAACTTTAAAGACATTTTTACAAACAAAAATAGAAACTGACTATTGACCACTATTTTATTACCACATAGTAGTCTGAAAATACTACGCGAAAACTTCACGCTGGTCAAAGTTTTTATAAGTACGTTATACTTTGTGTTCATTTGATTATATTATCAGATTTATAATGTTCTGTACGTAAATATTATCAGGCAAATAATAATTTTTATATTAAATTACTATTTCAGGAAAGTCATGTAGATCCAAGTTTGGCTGAAAAGCAACGCATGCTAAAGAAGGCACGTCTAGCAGATCAACTCAATGACCAGATATCCCATCGTCCTGGTCCCCTTGAACTCATCAAAAAGAACATACTACATACTGAAGAAACTATCGAGACAGCCGTTAAAAGTGGCATTCTTGCTTTCAAAGCGACCAGTGAAGGGTCGTCGGGTCGTCCACAACATCCGTCGTCCTACTGCGGCCCTGTGGAGGAGGTGTCGCCGTCGCCCTCCCCGCCCTCCACCCTCTCCCCGGCCAGCGTGACCAGCGAGGCACAACACCCCGCGCCCGGCAAAGAGAGACCAAAGCGCCCAAAGCAGAAACCGAAACAGCTGCCTAAATCGCGGCTCAAGTTCCACGAATACAAAGGACCACCGAACGCCCAAAAGGCATCATCGCCGCCCGGTTCAGTGGAGACACCGTACGAGTTGCTCCTACAGCAGCAGAAGTTGCTGCTACAACTGCACACGGGGCAGCTCATGTTGCCGGCGTCACCGGCGCCATCTTCCGCCGCGTCGGTCGCGTCCGACACGTCCGACACTCATCCGGCGCCTCCCCCACCTCCCCTCCCGCCCGCTCCCTCCTGCCTACCCTCCATCTCCCTAGCTGCGGCCCGCTTCGAGGACATGAAAGTATCCGATTTACGCGCAGAGTGCAAGAGACGAAACCTCCGCGTCTCCGGCCCCAAGCCCCAACTGATCGACCGATTGCGACCGTTCCTTTTGGAAATGCAAGAGGATACGCCACGGTCTCCCGCATCCGTTGCGTCCCCAGAGTCGCGCGCGGAGTCGGAGCCGTCTGAGGATATAGTGCAGTCACAGCGTCGCTTGATAGAAGAGTTGGAACGCCAACTGGAGGAGTCACGGCAACAACTAGAGGCGGTGAGGCGAGAGGCGACAGGGGCGGCCGCCAGCGATCAGAGTCGAAGGCTTTTACAAGCTCATCTTTGTGTCACGCAGTTACGAGCCAAGCTCGATGCGCTCCAACAACATCCACCGCCACCACCGCCACAGCGATATGTCATTGCAACACCAGACTCCACCCCAGATCGGTTCCTACGTCTATTCACAGTCACATCCCCGACAGCGAATGATGTAAATGCAGATACGACTCCCTCGAAAACGGGTAATCCAGCTTATATCTTAAATGGAGTTAAAGTAGTGCCAATTGCAATCGTTCCTACGACTCATTATGAGCCCGAGCGTACGGCGCCCGCGCCGCCGCCCGCGCCCCCGCCCCCCGTCACCAATACCCTTCACCACAGCGCTGAAGACAGTCAAATAATGGACGATGTGCTAGAGATTCTAGTCCAAAATGGTGAACTTCCACCATCGGCAGTCGGAAATATAACTCCGAATAGATCCATTGATGCGGGCTACCTCACCGCTGGTTCGAATGAATTCACACCGACTGATGTTATGAGTGACGATTTACTTAGCGAAACTCACTTGCCGGATTCTCTTGACGGTAGCGTGTTACAGAGAGAATTAAACGACGTCTCCAACCAAATGATGAGCCATACAGATTTAAACACGGTCCACGGCAGGTGTGATGTTTCTGACATCGACCCCGACTTAAGCGTTGATATGTTGACAAACAATGAGTATCACAGTAATTTTGGTAATTCGGACTCGACTTCAGGAAATCATGACGACTTATTTGATAGATTACTCGCTGGCGATGGCGACGACAGCAACAATGCTATGGATATAGACGTACCGGAGCGGATGAGCATGACGCCCCTGACCAACGGAGACCTGCTAGATCATACACGTACCGGCTTCGAGGATATGAACGATCTATCGTTGCCTCCCTTCCATAACGAGGACACTCGGCACAATTCTTACGACGAACAGGATTACGAGTTCGATTTTAATAATTTCGAACTTAGTCCAAGTATGAATGTAGATAGCGATACCTGTGATTATATGAACACTGAGCTAATTCCGAACTTGTTCGGGCGTAGTCACATGTCGCAGTGCGACCCGGTGCTCAGCGGCGTATTAGCTCGTCCCGCACCACGTCCTACAAGAAAACATTACTCGTAGGAGCTCTCTAGCCACATATACCTAAACTATGATCTCTTTATGCCGCATGTCATGACCGTTAGTCAGTGGGCGTCATGTTCGGGCAAGTGTACTCGTTCACCGCGATGTGCTCCAGACGCTTGAACCCAGCGCCGTAAAGCTAGGTTCACACGACATTGTCCTGCACGTTTTTTTAGTATTCGATTTTAAACGTACAATCAGCCGGGTGTTCACACGGCAGATTTTTATTCGTGTAAAAACGAATATCCACAGTTTTCATATGTTATCATAGTGAGTAGACGTCAGTGATGAATCCAATCCACGCTTGGTTGTACTTTCATATTGATAACGAAGGCGCCAACGGTTGCTATTTGATTAAAAACGTATGACATCGCGCCGTGTGAAAGAGACGAGAGCTAAACTATGCGCCACTGCAAACCGAATACGTTAAAGTTTATTCGATTTGCTTGCAAGTCCGGTGAGTATTCGTTTAAACGTATAAACGATGTAAGATTTTTTGCAGTACAAAAGACGTGTGACCGCTTCTATGTACAATATATGTGCCACTATGTATTCGTTTAGACGTATACTGCAAAAAACGTGCAGGACAATGCCGTGTGAACCCAGCGTTAGATTTTAGTTTATAGAGTACACGTTCGAAGCTACTGGGTAGCGATTAAAGTAACGCGCTAGTCTCGTGCAGTGACACGTTCTTCCAGAATGGTGACTTAGTAAGCACTAGACATTAACATAGTTTTAGTTTCGTGAAACACATAGTGTTCACAGTGAGAGGACTGAATGGATACTACTTGGTACTTAATATATGATTGAATTGCTAGTGGTTAAAATAGTTAAGTGATTTGTGTTTTATTTATTAGTGATTGTTAAGCGTCAGTCACCAACACGTGCGCAGTGACATACTTGGCTCACATATGATATATCCTTATTGTTTACTGTGGCATATCTACTTATGTATATAATGAAAACGTAATAATAATAATACTCAACATAGTTGTGGATAACTGCATTCCGCCCGATGACTAAAACTTAGGGAAAAATTATAATCATTAGGGATGATACTTCCTATACATAATGAGATGGAACTATCATTAAAACCATGTGAAGCCTTCGCTAATTTCCCAAACAATGAGTGACATTCCAAGTCTTGTTGAATTGCAAAATGGGGGCAAATTAGCTTATTTACGAGAAAATAATGATTAATAATTTACAGAAAAGCTAGACTAATATAAAAGCTAAAGAAACAAACCCTACTACCAATTAAGGTAACACATAAATGCATTCACAAGCCATTGTCATGGGTGGGACCAGCTTGGGAACAATATTAGATATGAATTCATTTAGTTAAAGTAGGGAGCGAACTCCAGGCATACAAACATTTATGCAAACATTACCGTTCATTGTTTGTAAATTGTACCTATAACTTCCACTTATTGTTTAAGTCTATAGACCCTTCATAAGTTTGATGTTAGTGTGGTGTAAATGATTCAACGAATATTCTCCTACTAATTTCTTTAATATTTATTATAATCTTAAATAAAAAAATACTTTAAATATTGTATGAACGTTACATTCTTGAAAAAGTATCATTCCAGTGTATTGTCTAAAGCTTAGGATAGGTGCACCTTATCGATAATTGTTATTGGACAGTGTATGGAATGTTTGCATAAGGTTTTGTAGAATAATTTATTTACATGCCCTTAATACTTTCTTAGATTTACGCGAATGTTTGGCATTTTTAAATAAAACTATCTTTTCGGATTATTTAGCGGATTTATTTTGATTTTTGGTTCCCGACGTTTCGAATGCTTTACAGCATCCATGGTCACGGGAGAGACTGAGGTGTTACATGTCTTGAAGGTATAGTTGTTACAGACAGCCTACCCACAATTAACAAAATGAAAATTGCACCAATTACATTAGATTATTTTTTTAACTTTAAACATTTTTATAGAACTTACTACATCTACCTGTCTGTTATGTTTATATTTATTATTTGATTTTATTATATTAATAACAGGATCCCATGACGATGGTAGTACCCAGCCTGGATGTTTTTTAATATCTATGGCTTCTCGAATCATTCTAGGGCGATATCGGTTTTCTTTCGCCAGGATTTGAGGTCTATCGAAGCGAATATAATGGCTTAGGCGGGTGGGGTTCAAGACATGTAACACCTCAGTCTCTCCCGTGACCATGGATGCTGTAAAGCATTCGAAACGTCGGGAACCAAAAATCAAAATAAATCCGCGAAATAATCTGAAAAGCTAGTTTTATTTAAAAATTACATACCCTTTTTAAAATATAATATCTACTGAAATCGTTCAAATGTGTTGATTAGTCTTGTGTGTTAGTATAATGTGTTTGCGTTCACCTTTGAATTGTTTTGAATTAAAACCACAATCGTATATCGGAATCAATATGCCATTATTTGCATTTATATTTTTAATTTTTAAATACCGATTACGACAACGAAAGTGGCTTTGTGCCCAATGTGCCAATTAAAATATTTACACAACTCAAATTTAAACATAAATGTTCCATAAGTAGTTTAATTTTTATAATTATAGAGCTCTTTCGTCAATGGTGTGAATGTTGGTGGTAATATGTGATAGTACTTTAGGAAGTCAATTAGTTTTAAAGTACATTCACATATGGTTTGGTGCTATACATTTGTAAGTAATTTAGTTAGAACTTGTGTAATATGTTATAGTCACGACTTGAGTTTGAAAGTCTAAGGAATCTAATAGGACAAACTAAACTATACATATTACTAGACGAACTATACAAGATATTATAATGTAACAACTAAAATCATTCAAATATTGTTTTGTTTTTGCTTTACTAAAATTAAGTAATATTCCATTATCTAAGTAAATTTAAACTAACTATTTTATAAATATTTATTAAATTTCTAATTGCTCATCCAAATTGTACCTATCCATTCTAGCAAATTATTCTTTCGTTTATATATTTTATAAGGCAGGTGTTGCACGTGCTATTACCGTGAGTTACGTAACCGCGTGTTTTGTTTTGTAAACCACTTTGGTGAATTAGTATAAAATTGTATTTAACAAGATATGAAGTGAGATTAAAGTTTTGATAAATGCGTATGTATGTATGTGTATCTGCATATTTGTTATTGTTGTAATTATTGTAGGAGAGTTTTAACATTTGTTTTCTAATAGTTTATATTCCGAAGTGATATACAGTGCTGAATTTGAATAATTTTAGCCTTTTACATTAACTAGTTATGGATAGAACTGGCTTCGTTATATTGCTTCTATTAACCGATAATAAGGTGTACTCATTTGTATTTACCTACATAACATTTTGAATCAAATAATATATTTAACTAAGCAATAGTACTTAGTAAGTCTTATGGCAGAGCCAAGTATTCATAACTTTATGTGATAAATAATCTGGAACATTGATGCTGTACATTTGGATAGTTTTTTACCTTGCCGTATAATGAAGCCTTGTATATATTTACCAAGCCTTTACTAGTATAAGGTATTGTTGAAAAAAAAATTGACATAAAATGTTGTTTTATTGTGTTTTCCCTCATATATTAGAAACGTTTTTTTCAGTTCCTTTTTATCAAAAAGTAAAAACCTGGCCCGGACCACCGAAAATTAATGATTTTGGTCTCATTTGATTCGAAATTGCATCTAGGAAAAATCAGTTCTACTAGGAAATTGAAAATTGCCTTTTTCTCCCGCCACTTGTCGCGATCACTATAGCCCTCAGTATATTGTAAAGCTATAGCGTGGATGGATCTTTTTATTTAAAATTTAACTAGAATTACAAATTGTGCAGTGCCAGGATGCAAAGAAATTAATATCATTTGTTCCCAAAAGTTATTGTTTATAATTTTTCATACAAACTTTCATCCCCCATTGTACCCCCATAAGGGATTGAATTTCGAAAAATGCTAAAACATGTATTTATTTAATTGTATTGAAGAGCATTAATACCAAGTTTCAGGTAATACTGATCATAAATAATTCTTTGACCATTTAAACTTTATTACCCCCTTTGAGAGATGAATTTCTAAAAAAATGTAATAAATATATTTCTTATTTTTTTATCTTAAAGCTAAACAACACTATCTGCGTATTTCACATTAAGGATGACAGAGTTTCATAAAATCTTTAATCCCCTATTTTACCCATTTAGGGGATGAATTTTGAAAAGTCCATACCGGATGCCTTGATCATTAGAATATATCCTCTAAATTTCACTTTTCTACGACCAGCAGTTTAGGCTGTGTATTGGGACTTGGTTGATCCATCAGTCAGCCAGGATCACCGTAGGATGCACCTTGCCACCTTTCCTTCTCAATATTTCGTTTTGTTTTGGGTTCTTTATTTCTAAGGCTTTATTAATTGAAACTAGGAACTTACAGGATCGACCATCTTTATTGCAGACCAGAGACAAGAGATCTATCTTAGAGACAATTCTTCATATCAAGTTGACCATAAATTATAGACAAAGTTACAGATACACAATATGTAACATGCCCCTTTTTAAAAGAAAATTTTGACACACGACTTTGACATTAATGACATTTCTTTTTGAAGTTGACAGTGACAATTGGGTAGACATGGGTAACTCAATGAATTTTTATGAGCTGCAGTTCAGCTCATGAGTCATATGCTTGAACCGGAGCTGTGAACCGGCTCACAGTTCAGCTCAATTGATGTTATATGGGTACTTATAACTATAGATTTACAGCTAATTTATGACTCTGTTCAAACAAATGACATGTATGATGTACCTAAATTATATTTGTATGTAATAAAGCAGCATTTCGAAAAAAGTTATTATAGTCATATTTTTTCGTTCTTACACAATTATAGGGGAATGCTAATTTCATGCAATTATTATAAATGCTAGTGAGTTTGTTTGTTTGTTACGCTTTCACGCCTTAACTATTCACCTGAATCCCGATTATCATTAAATACAGACAGAAAAGGACAGAGTACCTACCTACTTTA